TTCTATATAAAACAGTTATGACTTTCCACATATTATATGAGATCACTAGGTTCAAATATACAAAAGAAATAAAAGACCATGCAGGCAGGATTATAGTGACCTTCTGAGATCAAAGTTGTTACCCTTCCGTATGTTTCGATCCGATAGAAACGTTAAGAAACTCAGTAATCACTTGATTATCTAGCATAATTTAAATGAATTATCTTATAACTTTACTTTCTTTCTTGTACATGGTCACTGTCACAATGATAAAATCAGATTAACGTTTTAAAACTATTGTTTATGTGAATAAAATTATCTAAGCTTTTGTTTATGGTTAACATAATTTTGAATTGCATTGAAAGTGGAAAATTGTTTGGTAACAATAACTTTACCAAAAAACAAACTTAGTTTGTGCCTACATCATCTGAACAGTTTACATCTTGAGTTATAGATATTCTCAGTTTATTGAAAGATGAATAAGAAACACTGATTTATGACCACATATACAATCAACTTCATTAAGTTTTATAATGAAGAGTTAAATTTAAAACAACTTTACCGTAGTTATCTGATATCTTAAATTTCATTTAAATATCAATAATTTCTCAAACGTATCTCTAATTTTACTTTTTTTTTGGGGACTGATTAATTTTTTTCACACATGTTCGTTCAGTCCTCAATATCAAAGTCGATCATTGATATTTCAGGAAATAATCTTTCAAACTAATGTTACTTATTCGTAAACAAAAAAAAGAGAACAAAACATCTATGCTAAAAACTCATTTAAAATTTTCACTAACACGAAAGTTAGTGCATTTCACATGTATCTTTTGACTAATAAAGTCATTCTTCAAGAATCGATCAATTCCACCTCCTCAATGGAAAGCATCAAATCCCCTTCTGATCATGATATCGATATTGTTAATTTCAATTTATAGACAACTTGTTTCCGGATTTCACCTTTTTTCACAAGTGTGACATTTTATTCAATTAGACGATTTTTTTAAAAAATTAATTTCAATAAAGTAAAAGAAATCATAACCAAAGTAAAATATTAGAGAATTATATAATTTGTGAATATGTTTTTATGTCTTTATCCAATTAAAACCGTTTAATTTGAATTATTTGAAAAAAAAACAACTAATTTAACATAAGTTTATTGGAATTTCATAGAGAACATGTTAAGATTTTTTAGGCTTATGAGTTACAGCAATTTCTAGCTCCTTTAATATTGTATTTATGATTATCTCTGTCTGTTAATTTTGTAGTTAGTGATAGATTCAATAACGTTTTGTAAGTAGTGATTGTCCAGAAATACATTTACAAGTAGTTTGCTTTCATTTACTGATGTAACGGCAGTACTGTAATTTGTCATTTTACTGCTCTAATTAGGATTTGTATGCAAGTTAACTTTTGAGTAACTGAGTTGTTGATGTTACAACAGACTGTTTCATCAATACAGACCAGCTCCTAACTTCCTTTAGTCTCACGTTTTATCTAACTGGCTCTGGTGATTAATACGCTTTTTCTTCTGTTTCTAATGTGAAGTTCATGTCAATGAAGACTCGATTCGTCATTTTAAATACTATTTAGTTGATCTCATTCAGTGTCGGTAAGTATTTTGTCTATATGGCGTTCTCGAACCTCTAGTTTGATCATCAGTAAGACGAAGGTTTCCGAACATTTGTTTGTTGACGCACACATTTTTTCTGCTAAACTTGAATTGTGCTTTTCAAACCACGTATATAAGATCAATTGAGCTTTGACTTCAAACTTTTTGTGTGATTCAAAAGTTTCAGTCGTTGGGGAAGAACCGGAATACGGTCCTTCGCTAGATATAAGTCAGCTATTTTCAGTTGCAGAACTTCTATGAACCCTTACATTCATCAATCTATCAAGAGGAATATCAAAGACATTACAACATCTGTTAGGGAATTTTTAGTATCTCAATTTTTTTAAAGTATGCCTTAGTGAGACTGTTTAGGGAGACAATGAAAGCTATACGACAACACTGTCCATTTCGACCAGCTAAATTCTCGTCCATTATGATAAGATATCTCTTGCTTTATGTTGAAATTGATGGTTGAGGTTGCAAAGAGTCCTCTGTTACACTTATAATCAGGTCGGCATTCTTTCGATTAGAAATCTGTTATCTAATTGTAAACTCATTATCTTCAATTCATGATAGTAAATCTGTTATTGAATACGATTACAAATAAGTATATAACAGTATCGGTGAAGTGCTTTAGTCAGTCAGAGGCAACATAGAAAATGGAACTTAGGTATATCGATTCAAGTTGCCGAGTCCAACTGAATTTTCAGGCCAAATCCCAGAGTACTGGAGGGAGTAAAATTATCAGCGAGGAGACCAAAGATGCGATTCAAGAAAATATAAATCAGTGATGGAAAAAACTCGAAAAATTATTAGGAACCATAGGATTTAAGGGAAGACAAGGAATCCGTGCACTTGCTCGACTGCAAACAATTTCGAGCCATATTATTCAAATTACCCTACTACTGGTTAGGATTATCACGTGGACAATAATCAGACGGTCTCAACTTTCCCATTTGTCGATGACTTCATAGGCTGTTGCCATATTTTAGTTTAGTCAGCCCTAGTTCTCTTCCGGCCTACTGCTAAACTGGACAATACCAATGAACTGATGTGAGTTCCCAAAAAAAAGGAAAATCATCTTCAAATTAGGGAAAGAAATTTCAGATTAACTCAATTTTCAATAATAACCTACATAAAATGTATATCAATGTCTATTATATCGTAAATTTTACAATATTTTTGTATCGATTCAAATAATTTGTAAAACATTGGTTTGAATATTTTTATACATTATCTGTAAATCACAGATAAACTAGTAAATTAATGTTTTACAAGTATAGTTATAATCGTTGATGCACTACTAAGATATTTTTTTCTAATTTAAATAAGAAACAAACTTATCACTCTTGATTAACATTCATTTGTTTAGTAATTAGATTTCATGTAATTCAATTAAATAAAATGCTAATAAATCACTGGATTATAAGAAATGTCAATGTTACAGTCAAAAATCATAGAGTAAACATTATTTGTTTACGTGATTGATCTTCCAAATATAATTAAATTGTATTGAATAAAATCACCAGTCCAATTGGTTTTCATGTGTCTTCACTAATTTCAATGGTTAAATAACAAAACAAATAAACAATCTATCGCCAACATTAATTTTATTGACTTAAGTTTGAAATATAATACAATGCTATCATAGTTATTAGCTTTACGTGTTTTGTTCCATAACTGACTGCAAATCAAATAATACACTAGCCAAGTTGATGAGAACTAATGAAAAAAAGTTGTCAATATTATTTCAGGCTATCAGATAAAAGTTGTCCTACTTTGAATTTTATCAATTCATACTTCCAAAACAGTTTGTTCTATTTCCTGCTTCCAATAGATTGGAAACATGTTGATAATATGAAAGTGATTCATTATCACTCAATTCTACATTGATAGATGGATAGATAAAAGCACATAGAATAATAATAATAATAATAATTTGTCATTTAAACAGTTGATGTTTTTTAATCAAGACGATTTATAAAGCATAAAATGTACTATTCACAGTGTTGACAATTCTGTGAACAAGATTTCCAGAATGAATATTAGTAGTATTCTTTACTGTAAAATAACTGATGTAACTTACTACATCACGTCTATTATATTTACACGTTATCTCACTTAATCACTATGAGAAGCGTTGCTCTTCAATATTGGACAGTTTTCAATAAACAATCAATATTATTTACCTAGGTCTAAAGTAATTATTTGAATATTCCTAGCCTCATATATACCTTGAGCAGACTATTGGCAGGGTTTTATATCTCAGTCATTAAGTTATCTTGAATTCCACATTTGTGAATTACTAGTTTTCTAAAATATTTTAATGATAACATTTGAGTACGTTCTATGTGCTTTATGAATTGTCGGCTAATATTTTCTCTTATTCTATCTTTTAAATTCGCGTAAATACTGACTTACTATTTATTCCCTTAACAATAATTTACCTACCGGTTAGACACAAACCTATTATCCGATGACCGAAATGAAAGTTTTCTAAAATAACCGACAACAATGTCGTAGAGATTATTAAACTATAAACAGTTTTCTGAATTCAAGAGTAGAACCATTAAAAAAAAAACAATGGATGTAATGAAAACGACAATTATTAAATTAGAAGAAATAGATTCAATGTGAAAAGAGATTAAATGACAGAATTTCTGTTATGTTTCACAACAGTCCTATTTCATAACTTTTTTTTAAAGATACATACAAAATATTAAAAGGAAATTATAAACTATTAGAAATAATCAGTCACTGTTATTAGGATTTTAACTTAATTTCACACATAATCAACTACAAATGCTAACGTTATCAAAATTAGGTTGAAATTCCAAGTTTTATGAAAAGATACGACTAATATTTAATCTTCGGATTGAGTTTATTTTTAACAGTATAACCAAAGGAACACTTTTATGTCTGTTTTCTATACTGTGTTATTCATGAATATGATTTAACAAGTTCATTTCAGATAGACTTTCTATCTTGTCTTAATTTTTAAAAAATTATCCTTTTTATCAACTCATCAACTTTTTCTGAGCTAACATCGCTGAATAGTGTAAAACTCATCAATTCCTAGTTTATAATAACACAATGCAAAACTATGACTTTCGATACAATTACTCTATACTCAATGATTAGCAACAATCATCTTTCTGGTTATACAAAAAAAAATAAACAATTCAGTATTATACTAAAACAAATTATTCTGCTAATTAATAATTATTATTGATATTAATTGTTTCAAGAATACTTTGAAATGAAAATAATCCGAATAGGAAAAGTTTATTTATTTAGCATAAAATACATTTCTTATGGGCTATTAAAAAAAAACGAAACGAAATTGTTGTAAAGAAATGTGGCAGACAAAGTTATCTAAAGTGAAAAACCAAAATTAAAAAGGATTGAGGAATGTAAAGTTAGGATAGATCTTAATGTGTTGAAGTTTGTAAGGTGTTAACGTGCCTTCAATAAACAAGACAATTTCTAAGCATAGTCTTGTGCAACGAATTGAATACAATCATGTCGAAAATAAACCTCTACTTTTGATAGTGTGATGTGATCAATAAGCTAGTGACGCAGACAAGACCTGATCTAATCCCTATCAATAAGTTCGAACACTATATTTAACAAACATAATCAGTCAAAAATATATGTGAATCTATCAAATGAATTTAAACAATATATGGGCTTTAAAGTTACCTACATTATTCCAACTAATAAATAATCATTAACGATGTTAGACCCAGATACAATTGAGGAACGTCTGCCAAAAGAATTTCGAGAGATAGCAAATTTGAAGCTCATACAAGTAATTAGAGAAACGAGTCCCATCCACAAGTTACCGAGTCTATTTACTTCCGTCCTATTATTCGTTTATATGTATTTTCGGCTAACAAAGACCTTCATTTTATAAACAACATAGAATAAATATGAAAGAAATATTGATGAAACTAATGAAATTCGAGAACAATATCATGTTATCCGAACAAATGAATAAATCATTCAGGAAAACACAAGTCCACCAAAAAAACATGTTATTACAATTGATGAAATATAAATAATGGCGAGATTAAAACAATTAATTATTAAAATTTGAATGCAACAAATAAAAAATAGCCCTGTTCTTTTTGTTTAATATTATCCTCCCCCCACCCCTAGCCTACAACTAACTACATGTAATTCAAGTTTTTTTTTATTTTAAAAAAAAGTAATTTCTATATTTTTTTTTCTTGCGAAATCAAACAGCTTTTCATATCCAGAAAAATATTAATAAAGAAAATGAGACCAAAGAGAATCATACTCGGCATAATCATCATTTTGGAGTTTTCATATTTAAAGAGAGAGCGAGAGAAATAATAAGAAATAGTCAGGAACGTGTTGACCTGAAATATCATCAGTAGAAAGGAAAGAAAAAGAAGAACTTTGCACACAACCATGTGAAACAGATTGATAATCAATCCAATCAGATTGATTAACGCGTAAGCACATACAAAAAAAAGGAAGTAATGTCTTTTCATTTATTATTATTATTATTTTTTGGATAGCAAAGTTAATTCAAGTAAGCAATGTGGACAGCACATTGTATGTCATGTATATAGTATACATGGCATACACATTGAGGCCAATGTACATTAAGTAATTTGAAGAAGAAAAAAAATATTATTGTTTGATGCATAAATATTTAATTTTTTTTCTTTCAAATTGATTAGTTGTTATTAGCATTGTAGTTATTTATTTATTCATGAAATACTGTGCACTGCTACTAGTGAATGAATCAAAATGACCACTATCAAATGAATTGGATGATACAATGGGATAATTGGTAGAATACAACGCTGCTGATGATGGTAAACAGGCATAGTTTTGTGAATCAGTGCTAAAATATCCTTGTGGATAGTAATATTCACTTTGTGTTGTTGTTGAAGTAGGAAGAGGAGGAAGAAGAAGAGGATTAGTATGAGGTAACACTGGAGGTGTATGATACGTCGTATTATCATTATTATATACACAATGTAATGATTGTGTTGAATTATTTGTTGCATCCGATGATAAAGCTAGTCCAGAAGTTGGTACACATTGTAATGTATCCGATTGAGTCGATGGAATGGTTTGAAATGTCGACAATGATTGATTAGTAATTTCTTTATTGCTTAATTGGTCAGGATGATCATTTGGAACTTTTGTATCGATATTACTATTTAATTCAATATCATCTGGTATCTATCGAAAGAAACAACGTTTAAAATACAACAATAAAATATATAACACAAAAATTCGAGTAGTTTGAAAATGTTGTATAAACTTGATATATTTTTATGGATTCGATAAATCAAAAATTACTAGAGACTGTTGTTGTTAACGTCAAATCACTGAGTCATTTTTCTTAATTTAGATAATAATAAATACAGATTAGATGGGTACAAGTTTTTTTGACGATAACATTTCCATAACTGCAGTTTGATGTCTTCCTCTATTAGAACGTATAAACTAGAAATATTTACTTAACGTATCGAATTACTGGAAAGTCCTTGTAAATCTATTGAAGTTAAACTCAGGGAGCAGACACATGTTTCGTCCTGTTCGAAACTCGTCAGCTGGGTGTATCTGCATCCCCAAGTTGGTGTTCGCTCCGGGACTCGAATCTAGTACAGTTCGTGTCGAACGCCATCATGTTGTTCACTTTTCTAGTAAGTCCCCATAGTCACTGGCTTGTCCAATGGAGTGACGTTTAATTCATTTTTACCGATTGTTCGGATCTTGCCATTGACGTTGAGGGCTGCAATCGACTAAATAAAAATTCAATCAATAGTTGTAAAAGATTACACAAAAATTGACATTTTATCCCACTCATTACTACTAAAATAAACGCAGCCATTATACAACGATGTAGACACTCAGTACCACACGTCATGTTAAATATTGGTCAATAATCAAGATCAAGTTTACGTGATCAGTTCTAAGATAAATCGTCCGACATTAAATAATTATCATTAACTTACACGGCCACCTAACTCTTTAACAAGTTTACATAATTTCATAATTTTCACATCTTGATCATTTAAAAGTAACAATAAATCTTCTTGTTCACCACGTAGATGATCACGTTCTTTTTCAAGCATTGAACACTTTTGTTCTAAATTCTAGAAAACAATAAGATTTTGAAACGTAATGATTAGAGAAAAGGAAGAGAAATATGACACATACACACACACACACTGTGTAGATCAGTGCATGAAATAAAGGGAAAATCAATAACCAAATTATCAATCATGAAAAAATTTAACTAACGATAATATTTTAAAAACAACTAACTTTGCGATGAGTTAATTTAAAATTAAACAACATAACTGACTAGTTGATGAATAAGATTGTCTTGGGTACAATATGATAAAATAAATGGAACATCATAACACAAAGTGTAAAACAAAATAACAAAGAAAAGAAACTATCATTTGAAAGGCAAATAAGAGGAGAAACATTAATAGTTACAAATGATAAATCAACTAATGAAGATGTATGTGTATTGATAGTTTTAACTTTGGCACTAAACATTCCTAGTCAGATAGATGAATTTGTATAAAGTGGAGAGAAATTTATGTCAAGTGATTATTTGAAATTATTTAGAAAACAAATTCATTAATTTTACTTCAGCTGAATTAGTCAGGTTGTCATCACACACGTGCTTGGCGCATCTATTAAGTAAACAGCCTTATGTACAAATGATGTCCAACGAAAGATTGAGAAGTTTGACCCAACTAATAAATTGTGTAGGAAATAAAATACATAAATGATAGACATCGTTTTTCATATGTTTTGAAGATATCATGAACAAGTAAGGGGAGTTATAGAGACCAAGTTATTATTTAGACAAAAGTGCAGAGAAAAAGCGAACGAAGAATGTAGTTAAGAGTAACAAGTTTCAAGAAAATGAACTGCCCTTTTGAAACATGTTATATTTAATAGGCTCTATCGACAAATCATCTATAATATTAATAATCAAATTCTCTGTTCGTTATAGAATTACAGTATGATACCGTATAAAAAATTAAGACCTAAACAGGAGTAAATTAATTGTCATTAAGGATTTGTAATAAGACTAAACAATGTGTACAGCTGGATTAGTTACTCTATTCTTACACTACGAACAGTGTACTCAAACATTTTAGATGACTTTCATGCACATCGTTTCAGTAACATAATAATAATACGGGGTTGTGAAGATTGTTAAGTTACACATTTTGAAACCGTGAATCAATCAATGTTAGACCACCATTGAAAACCTGGAAGCACTGGAGGGCCGTTTCGTCCTCGTATGGGACTCATCAGCAGTGCGCATCCCCGACTCCTGCACCCCGCAGGATTCGAACCCGGGACCTTCGGTCTTGTGCGCGAATGCCTAACCTCCGGACCACCGGTTAAGTTACACATTTTGAAACCATGAATCGATCAATGTTAGACCACCATTAAAAAACCTGGAAGCACTGGACGGCTGATGAGTCCTATACCAGGACGAAACGGCCGTCCAGTGTTTCCAGGTTTCTAAAGGTGGTCTAACATTGATCGATTCATGGCTTCGAAATAGTAATAATAATAAAACAGCACAGATATAACAGTGCATAAAACACTACAAATGGTTTGTCATAGGTAAACTTCACTATTGATTACAAATTGTTTATCTGCCTATCGAATCAACACGAAAACAATTATTTAGAAAATTAAAATTAATAACCAGAAATAATTATTTTATTGTGATTATTATTATTAGTAGTAGTAATAGTAACATAATTTCACAATAATTATGTATACCTCTTTTCAGAAATATTAATTTCAGTTAATCTAACAACTCACTTGAATAATACCATTGTCAGTTATGGTTAATTCTAGAAAATAAAACGAGAAATGCCATTTAGCAATATTATTATTATTAATATGATTATTACTATTATGTATATATATATATATATATATATATATATATAAATGCAGCAAAAATAATTTAATTCACTAGAAAATATAAATACAAGATGCCAAGTGTTGATTTAACTAAGAATAGTAAAAAATAAACAGGAAGTCTTTAAAATCTATAAATGATTGATCTTCAATAATAAGTAGCTTTATACACTAACCAATTCAGTCAATCATCTCCAATGTAAAACTTCACATAAAATGTATATCTGGTCAAATTGCCAAATTTCATATCAATTTAGAGAGAGAGAGAGAGAAAAAAAAAAGAAGAAGGAGGAAATTCACAAAATGAAATAGAGAGTAGGAGAACTAATTTAAGTTCCAACTGAAATTGAAACAGCATAAACACAGTATATGAAAGGAAAAAATCAAATCAAATCAAATATGGAGAATTAGAAATAATTCTTCAGGATCAAGAGAAATATAGATAATCAACTAAATTGGAATATTGTGACAAGAAGTTGGTAACTGTATAAATTGATCTACCGGCCTCTAGTTTTTTTTCTCTCTTTAGATTACTCTAATTCATAATCAACACATAGTATGTCAAGATAGGCAGTCATTGAGATTTATGTTACAACTCTGAATAATCTAAACTTATCTACAACAATGACAGATGTTTGTTTATCAATAAAGAAAAAAAGGGCTGTTCAAATTATTCACTACTAATAGAAGATATCTATTAAGCTTGGTCATGAAATGGTGGGGAAGATTTGTAGCTCAGGTGGATGATTATGGTGATGGTGTTTGGTTCGCTGAGCTGGGTGTTTTGGTTGGTCTGGTCAACTTGACCTCTAGAAATATCTTTCGATCTGAATATTATTCGATACAATGATCTAATTCAGTGACCTCGAAATATGTTCTCGATATTCTCAGAGAAGTGAATGATAAAGTGGATTTTAAAATATATAACAGACTTGAAAAGCTATAGTTGAAAAATCAATACATAATAACTATATATATATATATATATATATATATATATATATATATATATATATCTTATTCATTTTTGAGAGTTTGAATGAGTATGACAAGCTGTAGTGCCACCACATATATTTCAGTTCCTCACATCCAACTTGGTTAAGCCCTTTCGATTAATTTATTTAACCAAGCCATTTGTAAAACAATAACTTATATGTACCATTGGCTTTTATTATTGTGTGGTTTGTATGCGCTGGTATGACTGAACATTGTTTACAAAGCAATGAAATAGTTCTCACATAGAAAAGTCAGTTGAATCAATCAAATATGAATAATTCAATGAAGAAGTTATAACAGTTTTGCATAAATAAAAACGAAATTCACCTTGAAACTGTACATGATTAAACCGAACTCACTTTGTAGTTGATCTTCATTGTGTATGTTAATCTGTTGTGTATTGGTTGGAGTATTATTATTAATGGTAGAACGACAAATATTCAGCTCAGATTCTAATACGTGAATACGATTACGCAACATTGTTATCTCATTCTCTTGTTTTGCCAGTTTCTCATCATACTGTTGTTTATTAATTGTTGAAACTGTAGGATCAACAGATCTACTAGTTTGTTGATTATCACCAAGTGAAATACAATTCGTTACTCCATTTACATTATTATCCGATTGAAACGTGTGCATTACTTCATCTAAATAAGCAAATGATTAGTTAGTCAATATGACGGATATCACATAGAAAGATTTTTTAACTTAAAAAAAGCTCTTTCATTAACGTCATTCACACTTTAAACTTAGCTGTATGAAGCAAATCAAGGTGGTTATTATTGAAAATCAGAAAAGCATATTAACCAGTGAAGTATAACCGGTAGTAAAACGTATTTCAATTAAAAAGGCAATTCTATCTTGATAGTTTTTTTTGCATAGTTTATTATTAACACTCTTTCAAGTGCAAAGAATAAAAAAGAATTGAATTACAATATATAAATTCCTATTTCTCAATGTTAGCAAAAAGGTAGCAAATATACTATCTTTGCCAAAGCAGAGACCAACCTAATTTATACATCAATAATATTAGTGATCAGTTTAGTAGCTCAAGTATTTACCATACAATAATTTAGTTAAAAATTTTGGAATTAACTGCATACTTAGTTTAGTTTGAAGTGTCCAGTATGGTATCCGACCTTCAAACAACAAGTATGTCATTAATCCTAGGCTGTCGACATGCACTTGACTAGTGTCTTATACACTATCACTAAACTAAATTTTAACCTGAAATAAAATTCTCATAAATCATAATTAAGAATAGTATTTATTAGTTAGATACTACTGATATATTATACTGCTCATCACATTTGGTACCGGACATAATAAGCTGAGAACAAATTGTCCCTCAGATGCTGTAAAGAGAGTTCTCTCTCCTTCTCGAAACTCTCTCACATGACAATGCGTATACAGCAACCATCAGGAAAGTCCTACTCACTGCCATCTCGTGACAGAGGGTGCTGTTTGCGAAACTGAGGGAACGAAAAGAACATTCTCCAGAGCATGGGCTCCAGAATCCCAAAGGAAAAAAATGGAGTTTGAAACCATCCTAGGTCACAGATTACTCCGTCTGGAGCACCCCCGGGGCTACTGCCGATCCCAAGCCAAGATAAAGGAGGAGAGTTGGGATTGGGGTTCCTTAGAAAAATAACTCACTGAAAAAACGCTAACAAGGAAAAACAATTCGAACCATTTAAACTGTGCTCTGGAAGTTAGGTCTTTATTTAGAAGAGTTATGACGTCTCTTGATGAAAGCCGAGTTCCTTCGGAAGTCATTAGGCCGATGCCCCTTCTGAAAACCAGAGCCCTTCGATAGTATAGGCAGCCGTGTATTAACATTCGCCCTCATACCCATAAAAAAACACGAGACCAAACCGGTCACAACCAAATCATTTCTACACCTCCTAATAACGGTTTTATCTCCACGACCAACCCTTCCATAGTCAGCTCACGCCCTGGAGCAAACGGTTTGAGCTTACGAAACGTGATTCTTGGTCTCCTGAAACACCGTTCTAAACCACATGTTGGAGCTTTTAACGTTCGAACCTCGTATCGAATGGTACAACAGGCTTCCTTATCTAGAACTCTGGAATCCTGGGCGATCGATGTATGTTGCGTCTCTGAAATACGCATACAAGGTCCGAGTAAAATCATCAATTTGATTTCACCTTGTGCAGACAGAGAATCAACTCGGTTTACGTCTCGTGTTTCTGGAAGCCCTGATGCTGCTTCCCATGGCCTCGCCGGTGTGGTATAGTATTAGGTCCTAGGGCAGAACTAGATCTCTTAGAATGGCTCCCGGTAGATAGTCGCTTATGCGCTTGTCCAACTGAACGGGACAGCAAGGATTCGGAAAGATAGAAAAACTTGCCGTTGCCTCTTCGTCGTATCTGCCTACGCTCCCACTGACTGCAGTTCAGAAGACATGAAAGATAAGTTTCACAGGAACCTCTCCAAACTTCTTCAAAAAGTTAAACGATCTGATATAGTAATAATGGCTGCTAACTACTTTAACGCTCAAATAGGTAGACTCAGCGAAAAGGAAAGACACCTGGTTGAATCTCATGGTATTGCGGGTCTAAGATTAGGTAATGGAAACCGTCTACTGCAGCTATGCTCAGACAACTGCCCATATTTAATAAACACTAGCTTCAAGCATAAGGAAAAACATCTTTTGACCTGGCGACACCCAAAGCCGACCCAACTAGATCACATCGCTACAAGCCATCGGTGGAGAGGCTCTATTGAAGACTGCCGCTCATTCTAGAACACTTGTTTAGAATCAGATTATGCTCTAGTGCGAGCGCGTATTTGTTTGCGGCTTACTGTACGCAAGAAAAAAAATCGCAATGGAACCTATTTGGGCTCTATTTAGTGATAATAAGGCTAAGAATATATTTCAGGAACAATTAGAAACAAAAGGCAGCCATGTAGTAAGTGATGCCCATCCCATGACAGCTTGGAATGATAACCAAAAAGTTGTGGAAAAAGCAGTGATATCCGTTAGTAAGGTAAACCACAAGGTTGGGGAGGAGCGGTGGATTTCAGTAGCATCTACCGAACTGATAGACGCCAGAAAATTCATCCTGTCTGGCTACGAGTACGATGAGGAGCGCAGTCAGCAGAAGCACAGGCTGATGAGAAACCTACGCAATGATCGCGAACAGTAGTGGATGGCGAAAGCGAGAGAGATGGAAAAGGCAGTGGCGATAGGCAAGAGTAGACAACTGTTCAGACTTATCAAGGAAACCGGTATTAGTAATCCGACTGTGAGACTATTTCAGAAAACGATGGTGTTGTTATTCATTCTCAATCCAGGAGATCACTATGAAGTCGAGAAAGCTATAGAAAATATGAAGCGAGGGAAAGCAGCATCGCCTAATAGATTGATACCTGAGATTTTTAAGGATAGTGGTAGAGTCTGGGTTACATCAGCACCTGAACTAGTGATAGGGAGTGAAGTAGTCGAACGTGTAGACCGCTTCACTTATCTTGGGAGTCTCATCAATGCTGATGGCCTAGTATGTGACGAAATCTCACCACGGATACAGAAGGTTCGATTGGCTCTTGCCAACTTGCGTCACATATGGCGTAGGCGAGACATCCGTTTGCTGACTAAAGGACGAGTGCACTGTGCAGTGGTTCGCTCCGTCTTACTTTGTGGCTGTGAAACATGGCCGGTAAGAGAAGAGGATATTCGTACCTTATTAGTATTAGATTACAGATGTCTTTGGAACATTCTTGGACTATCCTGGGACAACCAAATAAGCAACGTTGTCGTTAGGAAACGAGTACTAGGTAGGAATGACAAATCAGTGAGTGAAATATTGAAAATTCAGCAGCTGAGATAGTTAGGAGATGTTTTACAAATGCCCAACCATCGACTACCTCAACGAGCTATGTTTTGTGGTGTAGGAGTAGGTTGGAAGAAAGTTAGGGTCGGACAGACCAAAATATAGCACAAATCCATGAAGTAATTGACAAGTGAACTGAGTCATGTTGGCAGATGTAGACTTCCTGGTTGGGGTCCGTGAGATGATAGTAATAGATTGTTAGAGACCTAGAATGACATAGCTTAAAATCGTTTGGAATGGCGCAGGTGCATCCACTCCTTGTCGTCTCTTAAATTCTCATCTTCTGAATTCCTCATGGCCTTTTATTTCTTCTTTTTCAATCGATTCCTCTGGGACATACGTGTCAAATGATTTATTCGATCATTATTCTTTTTAATGACTGTTAATACTTTTACTACCTCCACTACTATCGGATTTGAATTGACAATTGCATCTCGGCGCTAATGTGGTATGGCAACTTGAACTGATGTACGTAAGTAAGAAGTTCTACGTCGTAACTGACTCACTGTCTCATTGATTACCATGGAACCACTATCTTCTAACGTTGCTCGACTGTCACCTGCTTTGATTTTAGTATCTAGGCAATATTCCAGCCCATACACAAATTCAATGACTTGTTTGAGGCATATCAAAATTTTTGGTGTCGTTTTGTACCAATATTTATATGTTTAAATAAATAAAGAACAAACTGATATAGATTAATCAGTTCTGTACAACTAATTTACTAACTGACTGAACTAAATAAAATATTTCGTCTATTGCATGAAATTATCGAAAAACAAAACTGATAATAATGTAAACTACTATTGTAATAAAATAATAAAGACTTACATTCTAATCGTTTAAACAACCGGGTGAATGTATAATCAAAGATTAACTCATCAGTAGACTGTACAGACGTTTGAGGTTTTTTTGAAGCTGAAACAAATGATTCAGCTTTGGATACTTGACTTAGACGTTCTAAAATCATATCTATACCGATACGTTTCTCCAGGGCATTAAATAAGGTTGACCTAGGGGTTTAAATAGATCAATAATTTCAACAAACAAATAAATGACTGTATAATAATTTATTTTTCAACTACAATGGCAGTTATCAACATTCTATCAATTACAACATAAAAATTTGTCAACATTGATTTTTATCATCAAAAGGTTTTTGCGTCTTAGATTCAAGACTGAAATCTCCAGAGTGATGGCTGATTGTACTATATCACTAACGAAATCAAAGTATATGGAGTAGGTTTTGAACTTGGAATATTGATTAAGAAGGTTGATTACTTAAAGCATTAAATTACAACTTCATTATATTACAAACTTTTACTATTTATTTCATGCTTGCTAGAACGAAGTTCACAACGACTTTGAACTGTAACAGATCTCGGTAGTCAGATGTTCATCAACCGCTGTCAGTATTAAAAAGATAAAAATAACGCATTAACCACGTAAAAGTTCATAGTTGAGATTATGGAACTATGCATACTTAGTCGAGAAAACTAACAATACCAAACTATTTCCTAGACTAGTGCAATAAAGCAGGGTTCAAGCAATGAATTCAGTGGTTTCCAGTCGGTTGTCAATCAATGAACTGAATTCGTCATCAGGTGAAGAAATTATCAATTGAAATTAGGCTATAGAAAGCTGCCTTCCAACAAAATAAGTTGGAGATTTACCAAGATCCAGTTAATAAGCCCAACTTAAATCAAATTTATTTTTGGTACTGAAAAATAAGTTAACTTTGAAAATGTTTACAAATTGAAGAAATAAAACACTAGATAATTCAACAGTTTCAAAAAAACACAATTAATTTTCGGTTTATTTAAGCGGAATTTATATTACAAACTTTATATTGAAAAAATATACGACAGCATAACTACACTAATCTGAAAAACGAAAACACTATAGTCGACTATGAATAACATAAAAACAACAAAGAACCTATAGACAATAACAAGTAATAAAATTATGTATATGAAAATTAGCTTCGATGCATTGACTAATAAAACAGGATAAGTATATATATGATTCCGAGATCTATGTTTACATTTAGATAACAATTGATTAGGGGTGAGCAAACCTTACACTAAACGGTGACAGGAACGTAGACTGACTTCTAGAAGCGTGTAACAGACCAACATACATGTGCACCAGCTCAATTCACATTACATTCTACACGAAATATTAATAATAAACGCATCAAAACAACTTACGAGAATTATTGCAAAATAGATAATAGCAGTTTTGTTAAAAATTAGAAGAACTGAAAGTAAATATAAACAAGCCAGTGACACTGATTTTGTTGTCAGTCATCTCATGGAGAGCTGTAACTGATTGATTTTGTAGTTAGATTTTCATTATGGGATCTTATAGGGCAGTAACTCCGTTGCGATTAGTTCTAATGATGGACTTAACTCCTAGACTTGTATTTAGTTGAGGAGAGGCATTTCCATTTTTTTATCCTTTTAGTCTATATATTTTCCGGTGAAAATACATGCCCTGACTACAGAAGCCTCTAATATTTTTAACAGAGATCACTGATACCATGAGTAGATCATATGTCTCTATGTAATCCTCTTAACGTTTCTTTCAACCTACTTTTACTAAAAAAATATTAGGCCATGTTTTGTGACAGAATATTTACACGATACAACTATTTTTGCCAAAACAGGTTCACAACAACGTCAACTGTTGTCCTGCGGAAAACCCAAAGAATTACTCTGGTTTCTCTGTGTAGTTATACCACTCGTAGAACAGAGACTTTCAATGAATAAACACAAAATTCTACTACGTGTTCTAATAAACAAGGAAAGATCACGTTATTCTGTATACTTTGGTTACCACCAACAAACGTTCCAGTAATATAACTAAAATCATCTACGGTGTCCACAACTATGAAGTAGGACGCTCACTAATCAAAACTCAAAAACTGCTGTCCTGTTGTGGTTAGAAATTGAAACCTAGTACTAATCAGAATTAGAAATCTTTACGAGAATATGCAAATAATTGAATAAAAACAATAAATAATTACTTTTCAAATCCATTTACATCCCCAGGATTGTATATTACACAAATACAAACTAATAATGTAGTCAAACCGCGAACTAATGCTTCATTTTCATCATTATCCACTGCACATGCTTCTGCGATAAGAGTCCATAAATACGAATTACGATTCACTGGTTGTGTACCATCATTTGCTGTACTGGATGATGGATTTAAAAAACATCTTACTGCTTCGGAACAGTTTGTGAACCAAGTACATAATAATTGCAATAAACCCATACGAGATTGAAAATGACTACACTGTTTTTGGTAGAAAACAAAAATAACAATAAATTAAACGGCTAGAAACAATTCATATAAGTATAAAATATCGAACGAAGAAAGTTTCACTTTTTTAATCGAACTACACAGAACTGAAGAAAAGTTTATAATCGACAAGCAAATCATGCCAGTATGTTTGTCCATTACAACTATCGGTAGTGGATAATAAAAGAATAAATAAGCTACTGCTAGTCTGGTTAGTAAAAATATGTGAGTTCATTGTTTGTATTAGCACAGAGACGTAACTGTCAGTTCAAATCGCATAGCCGTAGAGATAGTAGAAGTATTAACAGTAATGGAGAAGATTAGGGAGCGAAGACATGATCCGATAAGCATAATTCAGTGAGATAAATTTAGAAGGAGATAGAGATTATGAGGAATTCAGAAGGTTAGAATTAGAGAGAACACGAAGAGTGGATGCACCTGCGCCATTGCAAACGATTCTGAGTCATGTCCTTCAAGGTCTCTAACCATCGGTGACCTTCGTCTCGCGGACCCCAACCAGGTAGCCTACATCTACCAACATGACTCAGTCCACTTGTCAATGACTTCATGGATTTCTGCCATGTTTTGGTTTGGCCACCTCTAACTTTCTTCCAACCTATTCCTACATCGCAAAACATCGCTCGTCGAGGCAGTCGATGGTTAGGCTTACGTAACACATGTCCAACTAACTCAACTGATGAAGTTTCAATACTTCATCAACCGACCTGCCATCCTTACCTAGTACTCGGTTGTCCGAGGATATAAGAGCAATGCTTCGATTCACTCCCTATCACTAGTTCAGTTGTCGACGCAATTCGATCTTGAAGCAACATTTTGCATTTAGAGAGAAAGAGACAGAATCGCATCCCAAACATGGTTGCAATGTTTCTTATGGTAGTCAGAAGACTCAGCATTTTGTCACCAAATAGAACTGTCATTCGTATACTCTAAGTCAGTAAGCGTGTCTCCTGGTAGAAGGTCCACCCCTGAAAAAAAAAGCATATCTACGACAAGGTTAGACAAGAATGCAGAGAGTGGACAGCCCTGACGAACACCACCTGAAGTAGAGGATTCCGATGACTATTCGCCATAAGCTCTCATTCAACCAGTGGTGTTAGAGTGCACGAAGCTGAAACTTGACATAAGAATGAATACACACAACAGAATAATGACTTCGGCTTTATGCCGAGTATAAAGTAAATATCAAATATAGAAAAAAATAATAATTTATGTAAACACTGAGACAGCTTTGTAAAACTCTTGCTGTACTATATGCATGTAGCTAGAGTTTGTGAAGCCGAAACTTCAGCCGATGAACATTTAATACAAAGTCTAGTGTAATAAATGCGGTTTTATGACATAAACATATATAAAAAATTTTAAAAAGCCAGAACACTATGAGCGCTTTGTCAGTTTAAGTAAATAATTGTATTATTGAAAGGAAGTGAGCAAAACTACATATAGGATAGACATTCCGACGGTTTGTTGTCGCTATTGAATACAAAGCTCTCGCTTCTAGAACAGAAACGTGTCTTTCTGCCCTGAATTGGTACACCATATCGTGGTAAAAAAAGCTAGCATAACCCTCCAAATCTGTGCTGACACCATGACCGTCATGATAAATGAAGCTAATTCATCAGAAGATTTGCGTAGCTAAACACCATAAAACTCACATCTCAAGTTCCTCAAATTAGGAAATTTGCTGAATCAGAATTATTGAACAGAGTGAATAAGGTGATTACGGTACCTTGGAAGATGGAGAGCTAACATATTCTGCCCCTTTATCGTAATTAACATTTCTAAATGCCAAATTAGGGTCACGCAAACCCCAGGCTATCTTTGTTAACAAATGCATTACTATAAGACAGTCCCTAGTAATGGCGCAGGTGCATCCACTCTTTATGTTCTCTAAAATTCTAATCTTCAGAATTCCTCATCATATTTATCTTTCTCTTTTTAAAGTTATCTTACTGAAATATACTTCTTGAATAATACCTTCCATCCCTAATATTCTCAATTACCAGTTTTTCTTCTACGATCTCCAGCACTATGGGATTTCAACTGATAGTGGCGTCTCTGTGCTGTGGTATGGCAACTTGGACGTACGAAGTTCTACGTTGTAATTGACTGACTAACTGACTAGTGATGGCATATCATAGATGATGGTGCTATCCTTACGAATCCACCGCTAAATGCAACAGTGCAAAATACGACTCTGAGCAACCAAGCGACAAGGATACATGAAAAAATGAACTCAATAAATGTTCGTACGTCTAAATGATATATGTTGAGAAACCATTAAGGCCAAGTCTATTTATTAATTTAGATTGGTAAATGGTACGCAACCTCGAGAAAACCAAGTGAGTTTTAAAATTTTTATCAATTTCCGACCACTGATATATACTTGATATAAATCATTTAACACAAAGCATTATTATTTTCACGTCAAACAGTTTTGTGGTAATGTCTATGACCGAAAGCAGTTTACCAATGACACTGTACCAGCATTAAAGACTAACTACTGGGAAAGTTCTGCTTACATAAATAAGGATAACGAGTTAATACTTGAAGCGGTTACGTCTGAATGTATTCATAGTAAATAATGATACGCCGAAATTATACCCAACTTCGACAAACAATCAAACTATTTTTCCCTAAATCTTAAATGACTGGTCGATTTGAATAACTGCTAACCCAAAATATGTACAAAAAAATATGGTCCTCTGAAGCCTTGAATACCGCAAAAGGTAATTCCAAGACATTTGAAATACGTTTCTCAACCAAACTCTCAATTCACACGGAGCTTAGCATTAACATGCAGTTCAACGATTGACTGTGAAATAGTCAAGTTTGATTATCAATCTACAACCAGTCCTTGTTTTGGTTTGCTATATTTTTTCCGGGACCTAGTAACAATGAAGGTGAAGTTGAATCGGTTGACGGTTAGTCGGATTCCTATGAATAGGCACGAAATCCCTTGTTCGGATCAGAGAATTGAAGTAACATAACTCAAAATCTGTTAGAGTGAAGTAAACTCAATTTTTGTCTTTTGGTCTATTTTACGTTTTTCCATCACCTTTCTTTTAATTCTTTACCGCTAGTGATATCAACCTTGATATTTTTTCTATTTATATATATACATATATAAGTATCGATTGAAAGTAGGTTAGCAAAGAATACTAAAAATGTAAAAAGTCATAAGGACTATTCAGAAAGTTGATTGTTGATAAGATAATCAAATGACAGCGCATTCATTACTCCACGTTACGATTTTTATCATCATTCTATTTGAATGCACTAGCATTCAATAATGCACAGTATGCACACCTGTACATACATACACATTGTATCTTTTATTTAAAAATTCAATAAAACTAGGCAAACTGACAAAAATGTAGATGACTATTTCCTTTCTTGTTTTTCTGTTGAAATATCATCATAAAAAAATAGCGACTTTAGATACTATGCTAAAAGTAAATTCAACAAATACAAAATAGATACAATTCTGCTAAACTTGTAGAAACATTAATAACTAGAGAGCATTGAACAAGTGCTAATCCAAGACTCATTATTAGTCATACATACGCATGACCCGGAGTTAAACAAAGGACCATCAGAACTTTTAACAAGCGCAAAATACTTTCAAACAAATAAGTTAGTATCCGATAACCTATATTTTCTTGTTTTAATAGTCTGAAAATTCAAGTCAACTCGTGACGAAAACTATGTCATTTGGATGATCTTTACGAATCTTAACAATATTAAACTGTTATGTTTCAGGAAACTTATGGTAATACTGATTACAAATGATTGAGCGACTCCTCTAATACGAAAGGAGATCCATGTGACTTGACGGATTGGATGATTAACACACTACATTTCAACGGTTCAAATCAAAGAGTCAGTCAGTTACAACGTAGAACATCGTACGTACGTACATCAGTTCAAGCTGCCATACCACATCAAAGAGAAAGAAGACATATAGATATAGGTTTATTAGAAACCATAAAAAAACGTTTTCCTTCACATTCAAGTTACCTCAACTAAGCACCGATTAAATTCAATGACTACTAACTATAGAATTTTAATAACTTAAGAAAATATTACTTAAATGCAAAACCGAAATGAAGTAATTAAGGCAATGGAAATGTAGTGAAAATCAAACCAGTTAACTTCATACTTAATAAACTGAAAATCAACGAAAAACCAATTTCCATTGAACTGATCACGTTTCCCTCAACGTCTTTCTATCAAACTGTGTTTAGAGATTACATATATATAGATACGGTTGTGGAGATATATGCGAATCTCATAAACAAAAAACATAATAATATCTTAATGGAAATTACAAAAGTATGCAGAAAAAAAGTCTCAACAATGGAATCGACAGCGGATATTTAGTTATATTCGAGATCTACCAACTAGATATCCTTGTATTTCGGGATTGTACTGCTAATGACTAAGTGCAATACAATCGGTAAGTGAATGGAAGAAGTATTGAACTACTCATTTAATGAGTACACACGCAAACAATGATAAATCTAAAAGAAAGTATTTTCCAACTGAACTTGACATATTCTTTTAGAAACTGAACTGATCTATAAGAGTGGAAATATACGTATATTTTTATAATCTAAACCGGTTGTTTAAGTACTAACCCATCACATTATATACTTAGTCCATTTCAGAAACACAATCTCATGAAAAAGATAAATGCACAGATGGGAATAATATTTCTTGAAAGTCAATTCACATTAACTTATAAAAGTGAATATCACTGAATAAAAATCTAAAGAATTTCATCATGAAAACATCTTTAACTGAATTAAAAAGAACACATTATTTATTAACTACGAACCTCTTGTTGCCAGACAAAACACTGATGAAAAAGAGTCACCGGTTGAGCTCCTTCATTAGGAGATAAGTGTACACGTAAAAGTTCTTCTTTAAGCTGTACATTATCATGGATACAATGAAGGAGAGCTATGGAAGAAAACCAAGTTGAGGAATCTTTGGAGAACAATCCTCCACAAAGCAGTTGACCAGCGCTAACACCAATCTGTGGGACTAAAATCAAAACCAAATGGTAGCTTTTAAATGACATATATAAGTATCAGTTAAGAAGTATCCATATTAGGATTAGACTAGATTACTTTAAATAAATTGATCATTAGGTAGAATCCTATTAATAAAATCGAATGAAATATCTTCCGTAGTTTGCCCTACCGCTAAAGTACGACAGAAGAAGAAGAGTTGCAACATATCTTGAAACTCTGTGAAATTGACGCATTCTGTAAAACAACTAATCAAATCTACAATAGCATTACATGTTATACTCAATAATTACTAAATCAATATTAAGAAATATCAAAATAATTCAGAAGGGCTTTCCCAACTATAAAGAAAGATGAGTAGCTGATGTAGTTTTATGAAGTACTAAATCCCTCTGTTTTTAATAGAAAAAAGGCCCCGACTCTTGATCCCACTCGAGCAGTTTATACAAACAACGACATTTAACTTTATTCATTCTTCACACAATCAACACACTCAAATTACAACTTTCTTCCCTTTTAATTTCACATTCCTAATACCCACTAGAATACACAAATACACAAGTTAGGTTGTCAAGACAATCACTATGACCCGAAAATTCAAAATGCATTGACATAATCAGACCTATTTTGGTTCTCATTGGACCAAATATTCTGCTTTGTTCTTATTTATTATTAAAATATGTGAATCTTAATTCAATTATTATTTTCTTACCCCATGAAGAAGTAACTATGCTAAAATTTCAATAGGCTAAACACTAAGATATAACTCTGTAATAAAGACGATGTCTCTAAATTGAAGTCAATAAAAAAAATGAGGAGTAATATGAGACACTTAGCATAAAGTACTTGTTTAACAGGGTTTAAGTAATACTGGTAATTAACTAAGTATTGACAGTGGCCACTTTTCTATTGAGTTATGGATGCATATTGTCCATTTTACCCACGACTTTATTGGGTTAATATTTATTTCAAGTGATGCAACTTAAACTGAAATTAATAGTGATTGTCCTTTAAAGATAATTCATTTCAAGATAATCCAATATTTCAACGTTTGATTAAACATACCATCACTAGGTTTAGGCAGTAATGTCATTACAATTGCATTCTGTGCCTGATGATTAGAAGCAAGATAACATTGAAAGCAATATAGCACAGCTACACGTACAACTACAGATTGATGCCTGTTTAACATGGACACGAGGAGCACATTGACAGCAGATTGAGGAGGTTCTGAAGGTGCAACTAAATTGGCCAAATATTCTTGATTTCTTGGGCATCCGCGTATCGAATCTGCTAAGGCATAGATTGCTCTTGTTAGGACATCTGCTGGAACACCACTGACCATGACAATATTACACAATTTTTCTAGAAGACCACAGTCATAAATCACATTCTGGCAGTTTCGTGTTAATTGAGTTTTGTTACAGGGTGCTACCAAGGTTTGAACAACCTATTTTGTTAAATTTCAGATACAAATAGATTATCACTACTATAAAATGAACTTCGTACATAACGTAGAAACACAAACAAATACGTCATGAGTGAAACGAGCAACAACAAAAAATAACTAAAAATATGCATTACTCATTATAAAATAACACACTGATTCGAAAATATTTTTCAAATCTTAGATATAGAAATAAAATCTGAACCTTGGTATGTTTTTCTTTTGCATACGATTGGTAACAAAGTATTATTGTTGAAAACTGTCAACTATGAACGTTTGTTTATATCTGCTATGGCTCAAAGATGGATACATAAACCTCCAATTTGTAAATGGATCACGTTAGTACAAAATGATCTGTCTTAAAAAGAAGTTGATAGGCCACTGTCATCGCTTACACCTGTTACTCCTCATGGAAACCACTGACCAAGGTTTTCTGACTTTTTCTCTTCTGGACTATCCCTTCCAGTTGTTCCCAAGTGCTACTCATTCTTTTGATGTCTGTCTCTAATTCCCGGCCAAATGTGTTCTATGATTTACCTTTTTACTTTTTCCCTTTAGAATTTTTAGTCAGAGCCTGTCTCGTAACGCAGATGGGAGATGGGAGATTTCCGCAATGCGCCCCATCCGCCTCCAGCGTTTTTATTAATTTCTTCCTCAGCTGCATTCTCGTTTGTTCTCCTCCACAGTAGGTTGTTGCTGATGAAGTCTGGCCAAAGGATCCGCCGCATTTTTTGTAGGCTACTGTTAATAAACACCTGTACCTTTTGAATGATGGCTTTTGTAGTTCACCAAGTTTCCGCTCCATACGATAGAACAGTTTTGACTCTGCATCACTTGCTTTCTCTGAGATGTCAAGATTTTCACAATTCAGTCAACCACAAGAAGCAAGAGAAAGGGTGAGAGAAAGCAGTTTTGTTTGAATGCATCTGTGAGCTGTCCTCTAAGCGCAATTTTGCGGTATAGTCCGTCATAAGAATTCCGTATGACTTTGACCATCTCAGCGCTGAAGAAGGTTCCATAAGGTTCTCATATCTATGTTTTTAAATTCTTTATTGTAACTGAAAAAGTCGATGTATATTGATGAGTTCCATTCAAGTGAATGTTCAGTAATGATCCGTAATTTCATGATTTGATCAGTACACGATTGAGCCTTACTAAATTCAGTCTGCTGATCTTATAGTTCGGTGTTTACTGAATCCTTCATTCGGTTTAACAACACTGTTTAAAACTTTTTCTGGTAACGAGCCCCGTAAAATCACATATCTTGAAGAAATGTCCGCCAATCCAATCAGAAATATGCCATAAATAGGATCCACAAGATAACTTCAAAAAGATGGAAAAATTGCCTTACAAATATTAAAGATGTATAAAAAATGAGAAATGCGTAAGATCACAAGCTGATAAGCTATCATAAGAAACAACTCTACAAATACACTTCCAGAAAAAGTCAAATAAATTGTGTGAGTTTATTGAGATAACAACAGTTAGTTAACTTTTTAATTAGAAAAAACACTAGATTTACAAAAGCACTCCAATCCAAATATAATAAATTGTTCTGTAAGTATTGATATGGGTAGAAAATCTCGAAGAAATAGTAATAGTGAAGGCAATATAAAACCAATAAAAAACTTCAATATAACCGTATAAGAATTGTCAATTAAATTCAAAATAACACTTACCTGCATAGCTACCTCTGCATTGACAACTTTCTGTGCAGACCAAACTTGTGACTGTCTACTTTCAGTAGAATACAAGTCAAACAGAAGAGAAAGACGCCGAATAAAATTCCCTTCTACAAACAAAACTTGGTTGGATGGATTACCGTCTAATAATTGAAACAACAAACGAAGACAATCTTCTACCACTATACCACCATCACACAGACCTTCAGAATATATGATTTTCAGTAACCAATCAAAAGCGTTCTCGAAAGCTACTATTTTTTGGATATTTGCATTTGCTTTCGTGAGTTCCGTTAGAAGAAGTATAACCTTTAATACAACAAAACTTTGAAATGTAAGTAAAAATATTTTAATTAACAGTGGCAATAAAGTTTAACGAATCAGACAGTGAATAGAGTCCGATAGAATTACACCCGCTAAAAGTGTGCGACCAAAATAACCCACTCATTATGTTAAACAACTTTAAAAATAACAAATACAACAAGAATGACTGATGCACTTAGTCAGTCAGTCAGTTGCAACGTAGAACTTCGTACGTAAGTACATCAGTTCAGGTCGCCATACCACATCAGCACAGAGATATAATTGTCAATTCAAATCCAATAGTAGAAGAGGTAGTAAATGTATTAGAAGTAATCGTAGACGTTAGAATTAGAAGATATTATTCACGAAGTATGATTCAATGAGATAAGTTTAGAAAGTAAAAGCTAGAGGTGTTGAAGAACCCAGAAGATTAGGATTTGAGAGAACACAGAGAATAAATGCACCGGCGCCATTGCGAACGATTTTGAGCCATGTCATTCAAGGTCTCTAGCCATCGATTATTATCATCTCGCGGACCCCAACCAGGTAGTCGACAATTACCGACATGGCTAAGTCCACTCGTCAATGACTTCATGGATTTCTCCCATGTTTTGGTCTGTCCGACCCTAGCTTTCTTCCAACCTATTCCTACACTACAAAACAAAGCTCGACGAGGCAGTCGCTGGTTAGGCATACGCAACACGTGTCCCAACCACCTCAACTGATGAAGTTTCACCACTTCATCGATTGATCTGCCATTCTTACCTAGTACCCGTTTCCTAATAACAGCGTTGCTAACTCGGGTGTCCCACGATATACGAGCAATGCTTCGGAGACACCTATGATCGAAAACCAATAACCTACGAGTATCTTCTACTCTCATTGGCCATGTTTCACAGCCATAAAGTAAGACGGAGTGAACCACTGCGCAGTACACTCTCCTTTAGTCAGCGAACGGATATCTCGCCTACGCCATAAGTGACGCAGGTTGGCAAAAGCCAATCGAGCCTTCCGTATCCATGCCGAGATTTCGTCAGTCACCAGGCCATCAGCACTGATGAGACTCCCAAGATAAGTGAAGCGGTCTACACGTTCGACCACTTCACTCCCTATCACTAGTTCAGGTGCCGATGACACCCAATCTTGAAGCAACATTTTGCATTTCGAGGGGGAAAACCACATCCTGAACATGCTTGCATTGTTGCTTAGGGTAGTCAGAAGACTCTGCACTTTGTCAGCGTCTTCACCAAGTAGGACAATGTCATCGGCATATTCTAAGTCAATAAGCGAGCCACCCGGTAAAAGGTCTACTCCAGAAAATTCAGACGAGGATAAGGTAATTTCTAGGAGCATATCTATGATAAAATTAAACAAGAATGGAGAAAGTGGACATCCCTGACGGACACCACTTGAAGTAGAGAATTCCGGTGACAGTTCGCCATAAGCCCTCACTCGACCAGTGGTGTTTGAGTAGAGAGATTGTATGAGGTTAATGTACTTATTTGGTACACCTTTCAATGACAGATACTGCCACAGAACCTCACGATCAACAGAGTCAAATGCCGCCTTAAGGTCCAGGAAAACAACTATTGTAGGACGCCTAAATGTGTGTCTGTGTTCCAGGACCTGTCGTAGTGTGAAAATGTGGTCTATACAGCCACGTCCAGGTCGAAAACCAGATTGGTTTTCTCGAGTTTGCTCTTCACGAGCTTTCGTTAAGCGTCGAAGTATTATTGAGGCCAATATTTTAGATACTATATTAGTTAGGCTTATTCCTCTGTGATTGTCACAAGAAGACTTCTGTCCTTTCTTATAGATTGGGACAATCAGTGATTGAGACCAGTCGGATGGGATCACCTCCAGTTCCCAGATTCTACCTAAGATCTCAGTCAATCTAGCTGCTAAAACTGGACCACCATCCTTAAATATCTCAGGGGTCAGTCTATCAGGACCCGCAGCTCGTCCTCGCTTCAGATTTCCTAACGCTTTTTCAACTTCATTAAGACTAGGGGGACTTAGGTCGATTTGCCATTCAGGATGACTGGAAATCGTGGGTAACCGAAGAGTGGCTCGAGGCCAGTTGAACTGATCCCTAAAGTGTTCTGCCCATCGATCCAGTCTCCTGGATTGAGAATAAATAATAGTCCCGTCATATTCTGAGATAGTCTCACTTACACTAGGATTCCTAATACCAGTTTCCTTGATAAGTCGGAAAAGTTGTCTACTGTTGCCGATCGCCGCTGCCTTTTCCATCGCTTTTGCTTTCGCCACCCACCACTGTTCGCGATCGTTACGTAGGCTTTTCATAAGTCTGCGCCTAAGTTGACTTCGTTCTTCATCATGTTCAGAGCCAGGTGGGATGAGTTTTCGGGCATCCATCAGATCGGTGGATGCTACTGAGATCCACGGTTTCATTCTAGCCTCATGGTCAATCTTACTAGCAGATATCACTGCTGTTTCCACAGCCTTTTTGATATCATTCCATCCTGCTTCCGGATGGGAATCGCTTAAATGGTCGCCTAACTGTCTTTCTAGTTGTTCCTGAAATATATTTTTCGCCTTATTATCGATTTAGTGAGGACCAAACTGATCGGTAATGTATCTTAATATAGTTTACTGTAAAACTTACATCATTCCGCAAAACTTCATGCGTGTCTGAAAGTATATCTACAAGTTTTGAAATTCCGGCACGACATTGAAGAATGGCATTTTGAGTATCCTTCAAACGATTAATGGAAAGCACTGTAAGCAACCGCATAGCATTCCGTCGAATAAAACTTTCAGGTGCCTGTAAATCGGAAAGTATAAATAACGATATAAAACCTAATAAGTATTGAGAAAAGTAACTGAATTTTGTGGATTCAAAATAAAACACTGAGGTAATTTATTTGACAAACTACAATTAAAAAACCATAATCCATCAAGAACTGATCAAAATTTCATTATTAATGGCCTTCCGTTAACGAATAATCAATCCAAGTACGTCTGCATAGAAACAAATGTATTTTTTAGTAAAAAGTAGTCTTTTCTTATTTGGAAAGTGAACTAGATATCTATTTATTAAAAGTACTTAACCTACTTCCTTGCGTCGAGCTACATCACAGGTTCTGATAGTAGTTTTTGTTTGTTGACACAGAAATGAGTAATTGGTTACAACACAAAGAGTTTCTAATTCTCTCGAAGAAAACATAACCTCACTATAATATAGCTAGCAAGTAGCTAAAATAAAAAGTTTCTGCAACTGGAAACTCAATATCAGTGAATTTTCGCTTAATTTTACGACCTACAATAACGTCAATTTCGACTACAGACCAACTGTGTCTGCAAACTATTATCAAGAAAAAATTCACACAATGACTAAAAGGTTTAAAACTTTTGGGAGTTTCCTGTATTTTTGCTTTGAAACCAGAAATCATGAGTTGAAAAATGAAAAGCTGATTTTCACAATCTCTGTTACACTGTTTGAATAAACATTATATTCGTCTATAAATCGGAGACACTATTTCGAATAATGTTTCATGATCCCAGAAGAATTGAAACCCATACAAAAAACTAACGTTTGTTACTAACAAAAGGAAGCTGAAACCTACTACTCTTATTATCAATAAAGCAGTTACTACCTCTAATACTCTGGGATTCGCCCTGAAAATTTCATATCTCTGTATTACTAAGGTATGGCAACTTAAAATGAGGTACACATTTGCCATACTACGTTTTGTTTCACTGAGTGACTGGTTTTTTAACTCCACCACAATTATATTGAATAGCGTCTTCAGAATACCAACAAATTTTTGGGGTATATTTTCTCCCATCCAAAAGACAACATGGATGCTGGTATATCCAACTAACAATTTCCACATATGCAAGTCCCGAATTTTATATAACGGCTACAACCTAAATCTACTAAAAATCTGAGTGATTATGCAAAGAAAAATATGAAGATTTCTGCCTTGCAACACACGGTAGTGTTCATGAATGTGTTGAAAAACAACGATGGGATCATTATACTCCAAAAATAAGCGAAACATGGGCTACTCCTCGTGTATTACGGTCGGAGATTCACGCTCCTCACAGATCACAAGCCTCTGTTAGCAGTATTCGGTTCTAAATCTGGCATTCCAGCCCATTATGCAAATCGTCTTCAGCGATGGGCCTTGGTGCTTTTGGGGTATGATTTCGAAATCCAATATCGACGCACTCTACAAAACGGTCAAGCAGACGCTTTGTCACGACTCATTAATGATCAAGTGGAGGCTGAGGAAAACACGGTGATCGCATCTCTGTCAGTAGAAGACCACGCAGAATGTTATCGACAACCGCAGTTCGCGCATTACCGGTGTCTGTAACAGACATACAAAATGCTTCTAGAAACGACCCCATCATCAAGATGACGATGAAATATGTCACTAACGGTTGGCTGTCGAAGAACTTTGAAGGTGACATGAAGCAACTGTATCAGCAGCGGGATTCACTATGCATCGTGAACGATTGTTTGATGTTTGCTGAAAGAGTAGTGGTGCCAGAATCCCTTCGTGCAAAAGTGCTCAGACAGTTCCATCTCGGTCATCCTAAGATTAAACGAATGAAGTCCATAGCCAAGAGTTATGTATACTGGCCTCATATGGATCAACAGGTCACAGCGTTGGTTGAAAAATGCATGTGATGTCAGCAGGCAGCAAAGATGGATGCCAAAATTCCGCCGGTTTCATGGCCAAAACCTGAGCATCCTTGGTCCAGGATACATGTCGACTTCGCCAGTGCAATTAATTGAACTGTGTATTTAATTGTCGTCGACGCCTTCTCAAAATGGACAGAAATCAGCCCCGTTATGCCGCCCACTACAACTAAGACTATACAGCTCCTAACTGAAATTTTCTCGTGAAATGGCATACCAGATGTGGTCGTATCCGACAATGGCTCTCAATTCACCTCTTCCCAATTCCAGAGTTTCTGTCAACGGCTAGCCATTAAACACTTACGCTCGCCACCATACCACCCGCAATCTAATGGGCAGGCAGAAAGGTTTGTGGATACGTTTAAAAAAGCATTGGTTAAGTCAAAAGGGGAGGGGACACCAGCCGACGCGATACAAACTTTCTTGTACGTCTATCGGACAACACCAAATGAGTTGTTACCGGAGCAAAAGTCCCCAGCAGAAATCCTGATGGGAAGAAGATTGGAAACGATCCACAGCCTGATGCATCCGACTGATGCACCAACATCAGTAGAGACAAAGCCGCAGAGACAATCCGCTTAGGAAGTGGGATGCCCTGTGTTTGCCCGCGACTACAGAACGAACCATGATCCTTGGGCAGAAGCGCGAGTGGTCAGAAGAGTTGGTCGAGTTATGTACGAAGTAGAGGTAGGAGGCGACAAATGGTCACGTCCTCGAAATCAGATACGCAGACGGCTAGCCCCAGATCGCCCATCAAGAGCAGAAAGCCTTCCCCTTGACATCTTGCTTGATACATTTAACCTACCGGCAGCCCCGCCAAGAGAAGAAACTCAGCAGCAAGCTGTTCTTCGTTCCCGAAGGTATCCTCTCAGACAGCGGCGAACGACAGTCAAGATGCAAGTCGACCCCAGGAGCACACGCTATTAAAAGGGGAGGAGTGTTGGGGATGTCATATCCCCAAAACTCGCTTGTTAAATGTCTTATTTTGGATTTCACGTTTGCTAGCATGGACTGATCAGTTGACTTTGAGATTTCATTTCCCACCAGGAAAATCCATGGCTGTGATTGGCTGCTGTGTGTTTTAGTGTGCAATTTTCTTAACTGTCCCAAGGACGTTTTTACAAGAGTGGTATGCTTGATTGTCCTGTGATTGCTGGGTGTTTGTAGAATATACTTTCTACGCTCACAAAGCCTTTTATCTCCAGCTTGGGATTCAAGGGAGCCTATCTGGACGCCGGTAATTGTCTCGTTCGCGTTTATCGACTAAGGTGAACTCGTAATAGCCTCAAGCATACTTAGTGACCAACCTTACAGGTAGTCTCTCTAGTGTAAGATCAGTAACCATTTTATAATTAACCACCACCAAACGGAAAACCACATAATATTTGAATTTTTAAATGTAGAAAAACATTGTCAGTATGTCATATCTCAGTCGATTTCTTGACTTGAGGGTTAGACCAACTGTTGATATTAGTGTGATATATGATTATAGTGTATAAAATGGTCTCAATAGTTGGAGTCCCCTTTCAGAAGATAGCTTTGTTTATATAGTGCTAACTGACCACAGAATAAAGCACTTTTTAGTGAGTTAATTAAGGTGATCGAACTTGGAAGTACCCACTGGAAAAATTAGATACGACCAGTTTGCCAACACTAACCGATTTAAAAATACTCTTAACACTCTAGAATATGGAGCATAGAAAGATACTTTAAAAGTAATATCAGTGTACTGACCCGTGTCGTCATTAGCATGCTAAATGATTGTTGTAGATCACTACTGCTCTTTTCTAACATTCTTGTAATTTGCACAGTACATAAAACAGCCAAATAAACAAAACGTGACGAGTTCCATGTATAATCCAACATGGTTGCCCGTCAGAATGAAAAAGGTACTATACTTAGAGATATTTTCTAACAACTTTAATATCTTCTATAGGCACATCAAGTTCGGAAAACGGAAAACGACAAAAGAGGTTATATTTATAAGGAAGTAATGCCTAAACAATCAGTTAGTCAGCTAAGACGTAGAACTCAGTACGTACGTACATCAGTCCCAGTCGCCATACCACATTAGTAGAGAGATATCGTATTGCCGACACAAATCCCATAGTAGTACAAGTAGTAGAAGTATCAGCGGTGATCAAAAACATAAGTGATCGAAGATATAATTCGTGATGTATATCTCCGTAGAATCAATTTAAAAAATAGAAAAAATCATGAGGAAATCATATTAGAATCTGAGAGAAAACAAAAAGTGGATGCACCTGCGCCACTCCAAACGATTTTGAGCAATCTCGTTCAAGGTCTCTAGCTATCGGTTACTATCGTCTCGCGGACCCCAACTAGGTAGTCTACACCTACCAATGTGGCTCAGTCCAGCCGTCAATTACTTTACGTATTTGTGCCATGATTTGGTTTGACCACCGCAGGCTTTCTTCCAACCTACTCCTACACCACAATACATAGCTCGCTGAGGCAATAGGTGGTTGGACATTCGTAACACATGTCCCAACCACCTCAACTGATGAAGTTTCACCACTGCATCTATTGATCTGCCATCCTTACCTAGTACTCGTTCCCTAACGATAGCATTGCTTACTCGGGTGTCCCACGATACGCGAGCAATGCTTCCAAGAGATCTATAATCGAATATTAATAACCTACAAATATCCTGAAATCTTACTGGTCATGTTTCGCATCTGTATAGTAGGACGGAGCGAACTGCTGCGCAGTACACTCGCCCTTTGGTTAGCAAACGGGTATCTCACCTACGCCATAAATGCCGTAAGATGTCAAAAGCCAATACAGCTTGCTGTACCCGTGCTGAAGTTTCGTCAGTCACCAGGCAATCAGCGCTGATGAGACTCACAAGTGAATTGGTCATCACGCTCGACTACTTCACTCCCTATCGCTAGTTCAGGTGCCGACGCAAGCCAATCTAGAAGCAACATTTCGTATTTCGACGTGGAAGAATCACATCCCAAATATGCTTGCATTGTTGCTTAGGGTGGTCAGAAGACTGTATTTTGTCAGCATCTTCATAAAGTAGAACTATGTCATCGGCAAATTCTACGTCAATAAGCGAGTCTTCTGGTAGAAGGTCCACCCTTGAAAAGTTTGACGAATATAAAGTTAACCCTAATAGCATGTCTACGACAAGGTTAAACACGAATGGAGAGAGTGGGTAGCCCTGACGGACACCACTTGAGGTAAGGAATTCCGATGACAGTTCGCCATAGGCTCTTACTCGACCAGTGATGTTCGAATAGAGAGCTTGTATAAGGTTAATGTACTTCCCTGGTACTCCTTTTAATGACAGACACTACAACAGAACCTCACGATCGACAGAATTAAATGCCACCTTAGGGTCGAGAAATACTACTATAGTAGAGCGTCAGAACGTGTCTATGTTCTAGAACCTCAAGCAGTGTTAATATCTGGTCTATACACCCACGTCCAGGTCGAAAACTAGACTGTCCCGCTAAGTTGGACAGCGTATTAACGACTATCAACTGGGATCCAGTCTAAGAGACCTAGTTCTGCCCTAGGATTTAATGCTGCCCCGGGGAAGCCGCAACAGGGCTTCCAGATACCGGGAAAGTAAATCTAGCTGGTTCTTTCTTGTGACATGGTGAAGTCAAATGAATGACACTACTCAGATCCTGTATGTGCGTTTCCAAGACGCAGCATATATCTATTGCGTGAGATTTTAAAGTCCTAGCTAAGGAAGCCTGTTGTCTTACTTGACACAATGTCCGGAGATGAAAAGCGACATGTAATTTAGGACGGGGTTTCAGGAGACCAGGAATAACGTTTCATGAACTCGCATCGTTTGTATTAGCCGTGCAGGGTGTTGAAGGAATGCGAGAAGGGTGAGACATGGAGATAAGAGAGATGTTAGGGGGTGTAGGAAGGATTTGATTGTGACCAATTTGGTCTCGTGTGCTGTTACGGGTATGAGGGCGGATGCCACTTTCTGAGTGCTCATACCGTGGGTGTTTCTTGAAGAACCTAAAGAGGAAGGTGGGTTAGTGTTGGTCTTGAAGACCTGGGAGCGTAACCGCAGAGCCCAAGGGACAACTGCTTGAAACCGGTCACGCACGGCCTTATGAGTTTTTAGAGTATTACGTATGCTTTCTTTAAAAAGCCTTACCGCCAGAAAAAGAAATCTGTGAGGTAGGGTGAGGTGTGACATTTTTAGGGTCGACCTTTTCTAACCCTTCCTTCCTTGTGAGAAGGCAGTATCGCTGCAGATGCTGGTTGTCTGAGGAAAACACCTTACTGCTGTCACACTCCTCTGCAGTCAGAAGTATGAATTCGCCCTCAGACCTTGAGTAGCTGCTTTTAGTCTCATCGTTTTCAAATCGACCTGCCTAGCATGGCAGAACCTTCAGGGACATGTCCCAGACAATATAGCTCGGTTGGATCATCACGATAGGCAAGCCCGACCACCACGTCAAGGTCACAGTTACAGCCGGGAGAACGAAGGGGTTATGTTGACAGTAGGTATAGTGATAGTAGCCTCTATGAAAATCACGGAAGATTGACAAAGGTATGTAGGCTATCAGGACAACTAATGTCAGAAAGCTGATAAATCAAGAATCTCATCAGCCCAAGGTATACTGGGTCAATTAGTTCTTAATTTTCTGACAAATGTGTTGCCGATAAGATCAATATGAAGTAAACAGGAAATAAAGCTCTTTGCATAATTATAAAATTGGATAAACGAACTTTTTAACCCGAACTACTATTGGGTGCATACTTAACATTCAAAATAATAAAACAACTGGCGTTTACGCAGTGTTCATGTGGGACTAGCAGCTGTCAAAAATGTAGTGACCATACAATAAAGTCAACTTACATCTAACAACGATAATAAAGTTTCATAATTTTCAAGGTTTCGCAAATACATTTCCGTGAATTGTACGCCTAGGTCAGCTGGTATATTAACTAACTCGTGAGGTTCAACTGTGGGACTTATAAACTGAAAAATAACAAACCCTGTTCGTTTACTTCATCATTCATTACAGAATAAAGTGCTTCTAAAGCATAGCACACACAATCTGAGTCTTCCCTAAACAACATGTGTTACAAAAATCAAATATTCGTTACAAACCAATCAGCTTTCAGAACTGACGAGAAGATAACCATTGCTTGTGTCCCAACCTCCAGTCGATACTTCTAAACATCTAGATATAAAAAGATTAAAAATTCTTGCTTGCCTTAGAAAGCGCTTTAAGAGCCCGCAATGCATCCCGTCTGTCGTCAATTCTAGTAGAGGACTGATAGCGATCTACAAGCCTTTCCACCTTTATTGAGAGTTAAAACCTTTCTAAAACGTACTATATCAGCTCCAACAACCTCTTCTGATTCCGTCGAACCACCTAAATATTTTCTAAAAATTTCCATCACTGATGAGCTGGAGAAATGTAACGCAGAAAGGGAGAAGTCCGCTTACCCAAACCCAATGTCCAATATGTGTGGTTCAAATGGTTGTATATGGAATAGAAGCTTTCACTTAATAGACTTCTAAATCTAGTGGCTATCAATCTTCAGTTCCTCCAGATAGTAATCAAGGCATATTCAACGAGTAAGGGAGATAGTTAGTCAATTATATTGAAATACTATTTTCAGTCAAGTATGTCAAGTATCTTTTTAAAGGACTGGTGGAATGCCACTTTTATCACATTATTGTTGGAAAAAAACCTCCACAATTCAACGGCACCTAAAGAGCAGAAGGTGTTCTTAAAGTCCGTACTGCTATGTTGTGCTTCTATTTTCTGGGTATTTTCTATAGGCTTTTCATTTTGATTGAGCTTAAGTAAATACTATGTGGGATACCAAGTGATGTTAAGAATGCCCTGAGTCATTAGAAAGTCACCACTGTGAGGTCTGTTTTCCAACAAGTAAAGGTCGAGTGGCTTGAAGCGCTATTCATAAGGTTTGAACTTCAGTCCTCGAACTGATTTCGTAACTCAGTATATTTTTGTCCTTATGAAATGAGCGAGGATATGCCGTATTTTCATACTCTAGATGAAGCCGAACAAAGCTGTCAAAGATTAGGTGGAACGGTTAAATATTACCTTAGCCAAAAGTGCACCTTAAATTTAATATAGCAGGGTTCGCTCTAAAAGAATTTTGTTTCAGTTAGCGTAAGACTTTAGGTCATAGGTTACCGGCTAGCAAGATCTTGGGAGACCTCAGGATATAAAATTAACCGGTCTAATAAATTGGCCCGATACCTAACAGTTTGAGCTTATTCATGATATACACATGATTAGTCCTATCGAAAGCTTTTGAGAAATCAGTGGCTCCCACATCAACCTTCTCTTTGGCATCAAGGATGATTATCCATCTATCTATCCCACTCGACAGTGTAGTTAAAATGGAATGTCTCTTCCTTAAACCATCCTGTTAGAGAGAGAAGAAGTTTATGGATAACAAATAACCCTATTGGCTGTCACATACCAAGGACTTCATAGCTTTTCAAGGTCTTGACAGTGGTACTGCCTACTGGTAGCTTAAAGACTCATTACGTTGACCCCCAGTGAAAAATGGTGCAACCGTGCCTGCACTTAGAGAATGTGAGAACACTACACTAGGCGGTTTTGTCAAAACTGAAGCCGCTTCTTTCAGTATAACAGAGTGGACCATATCCAGGCCAGGAGTGTGCTTGTTTAAATGATGCTGCTTTCGACAAACTAGATTAGCTTCACTTCTGAAGCTCCTCCTATAGTGCGAGTGAAGCTCTCTCTACTACAGGTCCTATGAAACAGCTGAAATGTCTGCTAGATGCTCTGAAACATCACGGTCATTGCTAGTTAGGCCATTAGGACCTAACAACTGGAAAACTCCAACTTCAACTTGTCAAAGAGAGACTACATTGTTAAATAAAGCTTTCGGATAGTGAACAGATTTGTCGACTAGCCTGATTTAATACCTGTCGGCTCAACATATTCTTGAACTTCAAGGACTGAATATCGTTAACGGCATTACTGGAGTACGCATTTCATGAGACACCTTGAGCAGTCACACCGCTTTTGCGAAAGAATGTCTCATCAGGCTCTTAGGGACGTCAAGGGTGTGGTATATCTGACAGTATCTCCTTCAGGTCTTGGCACGTGACTAACTAGTTGGATAGCTTTGACGAGAGCACTACATGAAGTTTTGGATGGTTGTAGTAAATGGGATTTTCATCATGGGTTAACCACGTAACCGTGATTTGTTTAGGAGGAGTGTGAGCTTTCTGTTTAACTCTTCCCAGAGCTTCCAGTCGTCTTTGCTCTGCAAGCTGAGAGGAAGGTCTGAAAAGTTCATAGTGGTTCAGGAATCATCGCAAACGTTCACTGGATTCCCAGTATTATAGGATACGTTGGGAATGGGTTTCTCGTTGTTCAGTCACTAGGCTTCGATCCAGGTCCCTGAAGCGTTAGCCAACTAGTTGGACAGCCTTATGAGTGAGCTATATAGATGGTCCATCAACTTATTTTCGTCCAAGACCTGTGCTTTCGGGGATCTTCAATGGTAATCCAGAATTCTTTTTATCCCTCTTAAATATTCCACAAACCCCCAGTTACATTTTGCAGACCACAGTTGCAGTTGGAGAGGTGATGCTCAGAAACACGAATCTGATTAGTGTTCAACTCCATCAGTGTTATAACAATGTTGGATTGCAGGTTATCCTCTAGCGGTGCTTTTTGGGTTTGCCGACAAATTTTCTTGCGTAAACATGTCAGACGATTGGTGATGTTGTTCACCATATTCTTAGCTTCATCTTACATAAGCTGAGTGTCCACTAGCGATCCGATTTACTGAGTCTGTCGTGAACAACTAGTGTAAGGCCTGTGCATTACACAGAATACTTGAGATGGCAGTAAGAGGGAAACCAGATCGTTTGTATGCGGCATTAGTGGCCATGATAAAATAAAGTAAGCAAGCGAATTCCGATGAAAATTTATGAGCAAAAGAAAAAACAGTAAAATTTTCGAAAAGGATGAAAACGGGTAGAATAAACAATTAGAGTAAACTAAAGCTAAATGCACTGTTAAAAACCATGAAAAATGAGTAGTCAGCCAAGATTAAACCACCAGTTCCTATTTATGCTGATAAAACACAAAATAAAGTCCACCGACCGAACTACAAGGTCAGGATAGATTCTTTGGGTCAAATATGACTCTTGGTTGAATAAGAACACCGATGCCAGTTCGTCATTCAGACCATGAAATTTTAACACCTTTCACAGAGAACCACACAACGACATCTTGATTGCTTGAAGATATAAACACAACGTCGTAAATTAAAATTTATTTCGATTAGACTCAAATTTAATATGCGTAGTTCGATTTCAGGATTGTTTGATTCTGTTTCAATTGACTGGTATTCTGGTAACAGAATGATTGCTATCCTACTACAATCAGGGACAGGTTCAACTCTAGCTGAAACACGATTTTATCAATATTTAAACCCTGCTATTGATAAATCGTCCCAATGCCACTGATCACCTTTAATTAAGCTGTACATGCCAGTTAGCTCTATTATTTAACCAAACGTCCGTTATCATTTCTATTAGAATTTTGATTCAATCCATCTGTGATCTGATATCGAAACTAACAACATAAAATGATAGTTAAATGCAGTAATAATAATAATAATCTGCAGCCCTTTTACTAAACTAAATATTCCGAGGTTCAGGCCACGGGATACATAATAATAATGATAAAATTTATGTTTCACTATATGATAATGGAGATTGTTGTGTTTCATTAAAAGCACAAGTCGAACAATGTGAAACCACCATCAGAAGTTAGACACTAACATAGTCGGATGTCGGCTCAATTGTCTACGGATTAAACGTTCGCGCGCAAGACTGATAATCCTGGCTTCCATTCTCTCGAATAAGGGTAGAAGATGAGCACTACTGGTGAGTCTCATGCTAAGAAAAATCGCCCACCCAGTGCTTCCAGGTTTCTAATACTGGTCTAGCATTGATCGACGCATGATTTGAATAAAATTTATCCCCAAACAACATAGTGTTACATGAGGTATGACAGTTTACGAACAAGATAAATTCGTTGTCAATGCTAATACATTTACTGTAACGGGTTTCTTAGCTAGACAGATATTTCACACAATTACCCAACTATTACCATAGAGAGATGATATATTTAACATGCTAACTTAACTAAATGAATGGTATAACTCAAAAACAAGACAAAGGGTCACCAGTTTCAATTTCTTCAACTTAAGAAAGCGTTAGACATGGTTCGGCACAAAAGGCTTCTCATTAAACGACACTTATCTGGAATCGATAAATTATTATTTTCATGGTTTGCTTCGTCCCTAAATGAAGGTCATCAAACGTTAAAATACAATTTTATTTCACTTAAGTAAATGTAGGATCTGAACAATCATTTCAGCGCATGATCCGGGTATCCAATACTCAGAAGTCTTAAAGTTTGAAGAACAGTCCTCTTCTATTAATTCAAAATGTGGAGAGTTAATAGGGTTCATAAATGGAGAGGAGTTTACCCCCTTCAAAATGTGTATTCATAAATGACGCAGAAAAGTTATATTGTGAAAACACTATAAAAAGCAATCCATGTATACACCAGTAACTCTCATTGATTACTGTTGTTTTCACCCTGTTATTAAAATCAAGCATAGATAATTTCGATTTATTTTATATCATTTGATCATTCAGTAAGAAGCCCTTCACCTTTTTAGCATTATTGCGGTCTAGCGACGCAGTCGTTTGTACAAATTACCAGATGAAAAACAGCGAGGGCGCGCCTCGAAATTGACTTGGCATCTTTGAATTCCCTCCATTTACAGGAAACAGTCCAGCTTCGGACACTAGATTTAGATATTTAATCACTCCCGAAGATATAAGATGGTTTCCATTTACTGGTTGACAGTCTGATTACAAATTCAGACAAACGCAATCATTGCAAGTCAGAACCACTGTGCGGTAGGTCTAGCTGCCTTGATCGACTGCTCTATTCATAGTTGCTGTGGCAGCATATGCAGTTATTTACTCTCAAACACAAGACTTGTGAACAAGTTACTGGATCCACGCGAAGTTGCTTACTAGAACAGTCATAGATAAAGTTGCAATACTGGAGTATTTTCAGATTCCATTCTTTCGTAGTTATATTTATATATTACTAAAGTCCTCCTTCCGAAACCCCTATTTAGCTTATTTTCCTCTATCAATTATCTCGTTTTTCACCTCTCGATCTCTTAGGTGTCATGTTGAGTAATAAGGTTGCTACCTCATCCTACACTTTAACAGCCAGGAAAACCTGCAAAGGAATGAACCCTAGAGTCAGTAGTGGGTCTAAAATCCCAGTCTCTAGCGACAGGGTTGTGACAAAACTAAAACCGTCACTCGACAACATTCCTTGGAGTAGTGTTCATAAATCGGATCACTATACCCAAACACTTCTACTGGCTTTCCAACAGAG